GACACAGGGTAAGCTTCTAGCAGCTGCTTGCAGAAGCCACCCTTGTAGCCCCCCCACTACCAAAACCTTGCCATGCAAACCCAACACAATGTATCTTAAATAATCTGGGTACTTCATCTCTGATGTTAAAGTTCCTTGTTAGATCTAGTATTTTTTCAGTGTGAAGTTGGAAAACTCCTGAAACAGTCAATATATTACTTGGTAAAAAGCCAAACAAATAGTTTTGCCTTGATACAGTAGTGTCAGTGACAACTTCTGGGTCCTTGCTTAAAGAATCTCTACCATTGGAAATTTTTAATGTATTCTTATGTTAGCGTTAGGCTAATTTCTAGTGCTTAAAGTTGAATGGTACTTCTGGATTTTTTTTAAGTGTCAAACAGTCAATTTAGATGTATTACTGCAATCTTTTTCTTTAATTTTTATAGTTCTTTCAGCGAGCTGCTAAAGATGAACTGTGCCGTCAAAACAACTTATACGTCCAGCCATATGCTTGCTATGAACTTGGCTGTCTTCTGTTAGACAATCCAGAGGTAACAGCGTAACCTATTTTTAAACTCTTAAAATTAGGGTGGGAAGTCAACATACTACTATACAAACAATGAAATAAAGTTTATAGGTGATAATGTATGTTATGTTTTAAAAATTTCTTTTATACCTACCATAAAGAAACTTAGTACTTTGTTTCTTGCAAACCAAGGAATGCAATGTGGTTTAGGTAATGTCTTAATTTTTCAATATCAAGAGCTATAAGGGTGTTCTGAGGAGCTTTGTTATCTATTGATAACACTACAATAACTTGTTTTGTTATTACTGGGTTTTATTTTTACATGAAAAAAACCAAACAGCGTGAGACTGAGATTCTTCAGGGCAACTGTTACATTCCTGACTGTTAGTGGTGTCTCTCTCTAGCAGGGAAATGAACATGTCTGCAAACCTACAGCAAGTAGTAGAGCAAGAATTTTGATAAGTGTAGCACCACATTGTTTTGATTATTATTTAGTACTTTACCCCAAAAAGCACCACAGATTTCACTTTTCACCTCTCTGATCATGCCATGATGCCCATTTTTTTTTGTACATGCCTTATAGAAACAGTATATATAAATTCTGGGATATGGAAATACTTCTGTCACCCCACAAGACGCAAAGACCTCTCTCCCCTTCACTTGCCTTAGTGTTCCTGCTGCTGGTGGCAGCAGAGGCCTGGCAAGAATGCCTTGGGTAGGCAGGGATTTGTTCTCTGCGCAGGTGGTATTTAGTGTGGTGAGCACCTAGGATCCCTTCCTAACGTATTTAATTTCCTGTTGGGTGCTGTTTGAGCTCAAAGATTACCTGTAGTTATCCTCTCCAAATAGAATTCGGTGCCTTCCTAAAATAGCTCCATGTTTTTGGGATCAAACTTATATTTGGAACAATACGATATTTGTCACAAGTCTTTTTACCTTGGGATTAATTATCCCCGCTCTTGGGACAGATTTCTTAGTAATCTTGCACATCAGTGCATCTTGGAAACCTAGCTGGACTGAGGACATGCATACCATCACATTATTTCATTGCAGTGGATGTATAAGTAAAGTGATTTCAGTCATTTAAATTCCATTAAAGCTGTGTGTGTTGGCATTTTGGCTTTAACCTCGAGTAGTGAGATTTTTGTTGTTTGGGATGAAGAGGAAAATAATCCACCTGGCTTTCAGACTGTCCAAATGGTTTGGCTGATGATACTGATTGTTTAGGTCTTTGCACATAACCTACCTCCCAGGGAGGCCAGAGAATCTTAAACTAGGGAATTTCTGCACCACTCTCGGTGCTCGTTCCCCCCTCAGACACGTAACATTGATACTTGGAGTTTATGCTACTTCCTGAATCAGATTGCGAGTTAGGGGAAGCAGATACAGGGCAATGACTGGAACTCATCATTCTATGGTTCTATACATCATTCTATGTAGCGTATAAAGTAGTTGGGCTGATAGTATCTGAGAGTCTTAAGATTCTGTTTTCAGTTATTTTCAATCTTGTCAGATTTAATCACCTGAGCTGAACCTTCCAAAGAGGGAAGGAAAGGAAAATCTTTCAATAAAAATGATTATCATGACAAAGGACAAAACTAGAAAATGCTTTTAAAAATAATTGTTCTTTTTTTGAAAACCCTGCTGTCCTACGACTTAGAACTGGGCCTTGAAGCCTGGTAGGGAGGTCTGAGTCCAGTAATGTTTCTGCTCCCTTTTTTTCCCCTGTGTTCATATTTAAATTTGAGCATGTCAACTGTCTCTTAAAAAAAAATTAAAAAAAATGTGTGATGGGTAGTGAAATGATCTGAAGATTTTGAAAATATGGGAGCGGTCCTTCCTTCCTCCATGCTTTACATGTAGTACATGCACACAGTATTTGAACGTGCTTCATGTCGGGGACTGAACAAACCTCGGTTTGTAGCTGTACTGAGAAGCTGTGGTAGTGCTTAGTATGTGAAGGACATGCAGGAAACTCCCTCTTGTGGCACTCGGACAATGAGGAGGTAAATGATACTTGACTTGAATAAAGTGGGATGGAGTGGGGAAAAGCAAGAACTAGAATTAGAGGCGAGGGGATGCTGTTTAGAAAATTCCATTTACTAGCTGAGGTGTTGTGTGAGAGCTCTATATGGTCAAGAAATAGAAAGGAATAGGATTTTATAAATCACATTTACCTGAGAGGGTGAACATATTGAAGACCTGAGCAACAGATATGCATATTCAGATATATATATATTTTTTTTTGGTATAAAAGGCATGCTGTCGTTACATTTCCTTTGCTTTAAAATTACTCATAATTACATGTTTGATTCATCTGAATCGTCTTTGTTATTTTAAACTTGGTTCTAATCAAGTTCTTTTAAGATTTTAATGTGGTTATGTTAAGAAGTTTACAGATTATTTTTTTTTGTTGGTGTCTTAGTGAATGTAATTTAACCAATATAAATACATATGTTCATATTCAGATATATTTGAATAAGAAAACTTCATTTTTCTGTCTTTTATCAGGCAGTTGATTGTTTATTTGTAAGGCTGAAAATAAAAATGTACCACATAATAAGAAATAAACGACGAGTTTTTCAGTAGTAAAGCTTAATCTGCAAATACGTATATTTGTCCTTAAGAGTTTGAAATGGTGATTTCTGAAACCACTTTTAATGCTTAAAATCCAGTAACTTGTTTTGTAAATAAATGGCTTAAACTTTGGTTAATAAACACAGATTACTCTGTTGATCACTTTATCTGTAGCCTTGTTTGTTTCCCTGAGCATTGATGAAGGTCTGCTTAAGGTATTTTCTGTAACATTTGTGATGCATTTCTAATGCAATGTTTGTCTTTTTGTAGACTGTGCCAAGAGGCAAAACCTTACTTCTCCAAGCCAAGGTAAAACCTGAGAAACTCAAATTTCTTTCTGAGATGAGGGCATTTGAGAGGTCATGTTTTGGGGAGTGGATGTTAAGTGTCGGTGTCCCTCACCTATAATCTACAACACTATCATGTATATATCATATCATGTATATCTACATGTATATATCATATACATCAATGTATATGATATGCGTTTATGTATGTTATGTAGATATGTATTTATAGGTCAGTCATAGCACAGAGCCCATGTTAGTGACCTCTCTTGGAGCGTTAGAACCTTGCAAAGTTTTTCAACTAAGATTTGGCTACAGAAAGTCTGAAGATGACAACTCTGCACTCCCTGTCTGTTCCAGCTGGTTCCTGCCTTGGGCATGTGGGGATTTTCTAGAGCTTTTGGACTTGCAGAACTTTCCAGGTGCTGTTCAACTGCATGGAATCCAAGCAGCACATTGGAAACAGAAGCTTTTTGCTTCACCAGCTTGGAATTTCTGTAATAATTCTGTTGCTTTGGGTAATGTGTGGATACTGCAACATGCAATCTCCAGTTAACCTCTTTTCTTTGATCTGTTTTGTAACATGACTGCTTAAGTGCTAGTAGTAGATTTATCTTCACATCCTAAAGTGAAGGAGGCTAATAGTTATATGCCTCTTTTTTTTTTTTTTTTTTTTTTTCCATCCCCAGGAGGAATTTACTGGCTATGACTTTGAGAACAGATTGCACGTCCGCATACATGCAGCCTTAGCCTCTCTAAGGGAAGTAGTTCCACAGTGACGGACAGGAAGTCTTGTTATCCTTTCCCACAGTTTCTGCACTTTAAGATGAAGCAGAAGAAAAAGCTGTTGGGAAGACCAGCTTTTCTTCTGAAAACCACTTGTGCCAGAGACACTTTCCTAGTATGGTCAGAGTTGGTATGGCTTAGTAAAACATCATTTTAACTAAAAGTAAATCAACCAGGAAGAAGGTTAAGTGACCTTGCATTTTTACCTCTTCAGTTTTTGTTTTGTTTAAACCAAGCTGAACGCAATTATTTGTAATTCTGTGGGTGAGCCTAAATAAGCACACATGATTTACTTCAACAATATTGGCAGGTGTGATTTTTTTTTTTTTTTTTACCTTTTAAAATAGATCTAGATCTAAAATATGCCAAGAGGAGCACTTCTGTTTTGATTAGAATAATACAATAAAAGTAATTAGTATAAATGCAGAAGTTGGGAATGGGCAGAACACTTTTTTTTTTCCAAGCCAATACTCAGGAGGAGGAAAACTGTTGAGCCACAAAAAAGCAGATCTTACTGAATTTTAGTGGCTTATGTTAGTGACTTTGTGATGACTAATGTGTGAATTTTAAACCCTGCATCCCCTTCCATTCTTCATTCCTTCCAACGCAGCTCATACTTGTGATATGAATTATGTCAATATTTGGGATCTCTGCTTCTGGTACATTCCAGCAAATACTTACTTTGATATGCAATTACAGTGTGGGCAGTTTTTATCTCTGCTCTTAATATGCTGAATATTATGTTAAAATACCTAGGCCAGATACAGTAATTTTACATATTTTTCATTCAAGCTGCTGAATCTGTATAGCAGTGACCTTTAAAGGTATTAAAAAGAACAACCAAACCAAACAAAAAAACCCAAACCCAAAAGTCTACTTTGGTAGTTGTACTACTACTATGGTATCTTAAGTCTCTATATGGTATTTCAAACCTGTGGTGTTAAGATATTGAAATACCTCGGAGAGCTTAAAACTTTTATCGTGACTATTTACTTTTTAATACTTGGCCATCTGTGTGTTCATCTATAGCTTTTTTTTTTTACTTTTGTCTGTAATATGTAGTATCTCCTTATGTTTTATATTCAGTTAATACCATATTCTAGGAAGGTAAATATTTTTTTAAAGAAGCTTATGAATGGAAATCTGACCAGAAAGTTAGTTGAATTATGTTACTTTGCAAAGCTAAGAAAACTGGATATCCTTGGAAATAGTTATCCAAAAGCCTTATCTTTACTTTGGTCAGGTTGCCTTAAACAGTTCCTTAGCTTAAACTTTTTTTTTCTTTTCTTAGCTCTTTGTAGAATATGTTGCCAAAGTTTTAGACCTTGCCCACACCTAACCTTCATTGATTTGCTTTTGAGGTTGCATCTAAAGCAAGACTGATATGGAGGAGAACAGTAATGTCCTATTTGGTAGGCCAAATGAAATGGCTGAGACACTTTTTTATTTCTCTCTAGAAATACACAGTTCCTGCTATGAAAGGCATTCCTAGAGCAGTTAAACACTTTTGTTGCAGTTCCTGAAGGAGAGGAGAGACTCTTAACTCTTAAAAATCCAGTTTTATTTTTCTATAACATAGGTGCGTTACAGATAGTACACTGGGGTTTTTTATTAAAATTGAACAGTGTGTCACAAATGAGTGTTCAGCTTTATTTGGTCAATCCAAATAAGTATTGACTAGAAAACAAGACATTGTGTATATATAGTGACTACTTAGAATTTGAATCATGATTTTAAAAGTGGGCTTTAATGTACTGGAAGTCTTATTTTGTCCTATCTGACCTTTTAATGTTTTGCAATGAGAGAGACAGTCCATTCTGGGTAAATAGCTAGAAACAGTACATTTACTAACAAAATTCCTTTTAAATACACTGCTTAAATATAATGTGAGACTAAGCTGTTCAGGACACAAAGCACCTGCATGTGATTTGTGTTGGGGTATCTAGGGTCTACATACTTGGAGGTAGCTAGCAGTAAATTTACTAAATTGTAGTAAATTTACTAAAAGGCCTCCTGTTCTCACCAGGCCAGGAGTGGATATGGAAAGACACTATATATTCATATACAGTTTAACTCTGTGCAAATTGCAGCTTTTCTGTGAATTTAGCGAATCATCACTGAAATAGAGCTACCTGTTTCTGTATTAAGTTTTTTTCCTCCCTTCATAGGAGAATCTCCTACATTGTAAATGGCAAAATTATTTTTTATGTTAGATTGTGCCTGTGATGAGAAAAATTTCAACTGTATTTTCTGTAAACTGATAAGTTTTTTTTATACTTTGGAACTCGGAGGCATGGTCTAATAGCAATAATGGAATATGCATCTTGCTAGTTAATATGTTAAGACTATCTTTACTGGGTCAGGTATTTTTGTTGATGTTGATGCAGTTTTTAATCTCAATATGACTCATTTCAAATAAATTACTAGAATTTTTAGATGTCACAAAATGGCATATTTATTGTGATGTACTGTAAATGTTGTTAATTTACAGAACTTGCACTTTTATATTTCTGAGTAAATTAAAAAAAAAAAAAGTGGACATGAGTTTTGTTCCCTTGCTCCTCAAATTTTTTCTTTTAAATGGTGGCCTCCTGAACAAGATGATATCAAGTATTGGGAAAACTTCTGGGATGTCAAGTGACTCTGTAACAAAGTTTTCTAGTCAGCAATTACCTCAGCCTTTGTTCTTCCAGTATAATTATAGTCTTCTGGTTTAGAAAGTGAGTTACATGTGTCATGTTGAGATCAACCATACAGTGAACAAAGTTTAAGATGCAGTTTTAAGACATCAGATTTACTTGTTCTTCATTAAAGAAAAAGAACCACACACAGTTGTATTTGTTGTATTCCTACACCTTTGAAAAATGTTTCTAATTTACTCTAAAGCAAGCACTTTAATTTCTTCTCTGTCTGACTTTGAATGCTTGGTTCATATTCTAGTTATGCTTTATTCTTAAATAAAATTCCCCAAATGTTGTATTGAATTGCTTTTTAATTTACAACAATCTAATTGTCTTTCCAATAGCTGATCATACTGGTGTTTAAAAATTGCTCTGTAACTGTTTGAAGGTTGAACAGGAGCTAGCATCAGGTTGGTGAGGGGCTGTGGGTGGCGTCAGGAGGGTGCTAATCAGTGGAGTGAAAGCAGGGTAGCCTATAAATGACACTCAAATTCCCTTTCCAGTCATCATTACAAAATACTAACAGTGGTAGCAATCACTTTCATGAAAAATCATGCAATCGCAAACAAGTAATCTTAAAGCTAATGTTAAAAAAATGAATTTATACTTTGCTGTCTTTAGGGCAATAGGGCAGCCAGTGGCATCTGGCCAGCATGCCTGCCCTGGTCTCAGCAGAGGCTCTGCAGGCAGCCTAGAACACAAATGGTAGGCTCCACTGGACTTCAGGAGTAAGAACTACAGGTATACTGCCTGAAATCCTTCAGCCTGAAGGAGCCCTACACCAAATTACTTTTTATATAAATTAGGAGTTTGGGGGGGGGAGGGGAAAGCAGGAGTGGGGAATTGTTTCTTTGCTAATTACAGTTTGAGTAGATGCTTATACAATACTGTCTTGTGTTCTAATGTTTTGAGGTAGAAAATACTGATAGAAAAGCTACTTTTATCTAGCAAAGTTGACTTGCAGAAGATGGAAATATACAGGCAAGTTCTGGTTCATTTTGACCAGAGAACAATTAAAATACGATATTCTATACGGAGATTCAGAAAGCATGGGAACCTGCTGTTTTTACACTGAATTCTCTGTTCCTATATACACTACTCTTAATTTATGCCCAAGCAAATTCTTATATGAAATTAGTCAGTGTACAAGATGCACCGGAAAAAAAGATTGAGATATTTTACGCAAGGCCTAACTTGATCACAATGTTGCAAATATGTATTCTCCCTGAACTGTGAAACTTGTTCCACTGATCATTTACAAAATCGTGCCACTGTTAGTAGATGACAAAAAGTGATTTCCCCACCTCTGCTACATGCATACTCAAGGTCGCTTCCCTTGATTGAATTACACTTAAATATTGTACTGTTTAGTATCCCTTCCATCTTTGTAGGGTTTTTTTGTTGTTGCTGGCATTGCATACATCTCCAGAGTGCTTGCAGAAGGGACTACCTATGAGCAAATGAGGTGCAGAAGGTCGGCGTGGTGACCTGCTGCGGAAGGACCAGTGCCTGAAAGGATCCGCTCCCTCAGCTCCTCTAAACCTAGAGGTCTGTAGCTTTGGTTTCCAGACGCTCCATCTCTTCATATTTTCTTCTGCTCTATCAGATGCTGTGTTCTTTGCCATGTCTCAGTGTAGATGTTATAAAAAAATGTTCAGGTCACTTCGTGCTCGTTTGCATGAGCAAAATATAAATGAGACAGTCAACTTGAGGCAGGCTTTCTAGAGTTAAATACTGAGCTATTTCTATTTTTCACCATACTTTTCTAAAGTAAGTTCAGACTCCAAAACTGGACTCAGCATAGGTTACCAGGATAGGTGCATATTATGATTACACATTGCCTTCTTGCTTCTGCTCAGAACCTTTTTGCTTCATTACCCAAGATTTTAATGATTTCTGTAGCTGCTGTGTTTTAACCAGTGTGTTTTAGCTGTGGGGGGAGTTCATCTGCATTTGTCTTACCTCTATTATTTCATTGCTATGTTTTCAAAAATGCTGTTTGTCTTTTGATGTGTCTCCTTCCAAGATGGTGTTCCAGTGGACAATTTGATCAAGTAATCTATTGAGTTTTGCACGATTGGGTGGTCCTCAGTGTTTTTGAGTAATTTTTTGGCAAGTTGTGCTTACCTCTAGAAGGTGCCCAGAGAGGCTCCCTGGTGAAGAGGTTAAGAGAAAAAAGGTTGTTAGAGTTGAATATTTGAGGGGAGAAAGAGACTGTCAAACTCGGCTGAGCAGATCCATTTACATAACAAACACCTGCCAGTCTTTCTCTAAGAACAATATATTTAACAGTATGGGGGGAAAAAAAAAGATAATTGTACTCCTGGGACATATACTTCTCTCCACAGGTGTGACTTATAGCAAAGGCCTTGATGAAGAGGAAGACAGAGTCTGAGACAAGCATAAATACACCTTAAATAAAAACAGTATTTTGTACCTTTGGTAGGAAAAGCAAGAAGTTTTCGTGGAGATTTTTGCATATGACTGCAAACCCTCACTTAGAATTCTACTGAGGTGTGTGGCAAGCAGAAATATAAAGATAAGTACTTGCAAAAAACACAAGTCCTCTTCTGCCTGTTTAGCTGAAGCTTTGAAAAAGATTGCAAGTTTAAAAAACAAAACAAAACTGGCCCCCAACCAGTGCAATCCATTAAGCTGTTGTAAACTAATAAAGAGTTAATGAATAAACTGAGCCTTTTTTGGGCAGAAACTTAAGGCTTATCTGGGACCTTGATTTACTGAATTTCTGTCCATTAAGACATTTCTCTCTCATAAGATTTTAACATAATCTGGAAGCTATTACTTCTGCAAATGAGGCAAAGGACGGTTAAGACAGGGTAGTTGCCTTCAATTGGGCAAACTGCTCTGGGACTGACAGGCTCTTCAGTTTGGAGCCACATGTTTTAGTAGAGTAGCTGGTACACTTTGTATGATGGATTTACTGTAGATGGCTTCCAAAAACACCATTTGAGTTCCAGCACAGTGAATTCATTGCCAGACATAAGAGCAGCATGTTTTGGTTTTGCATGGCAAGGTTTTGGTAGCGGGGGGGGAGGGGGGATACAGGGTTGGCTTCTGTGTGGAGCTGCCAGAAGCTTCCCCCATGTCCGACAGAGCCAATACCAGCCGGCTCCAAGACGGACCTGCTGAAAGCCAATCAGTGATGGTGGTAGCGCCTCTGGGGTAACAGTTAAGAAGGGGGAAAGAACCTGTGCAACAGCAACTGCAGCGAGATAGAGGAGTGAGAATATGTGAGAGGAATAACCCTGCAGACACCAAGGTCAGTGCAGAAGGAGGGGCAGGAGGTGCTCCAGGTGCAGGAGCAAGATTCCCCTGCAGCCCCTGGAGAAGACCATGGTGAGGCAGGCTGTACCCCTGCAGCCCATGGAGGTT